TTATTATTATTATTATTATTATTATTATTATTTTCTTCACTCATTTCATCCTTTCCACACACAGGAGTGGAAAAGGGTAAGACATTACACATTTATCTTAACAACTAATATGACTAATATTAACTGATGAAGGATTCGAGGGTCTGTTTCTTTGTAAAATTTCAAAAAGCCCCTAAACATGGCAACGGACGGATCTCAGAAGCCAACTCAGAACGATTGGACTTTGCTGGCTCGCCGACAAACAACAGCGAATTCATAGGACCATTCAGATGGTGAGGATGAGATTGGTATTCTTCCAAAGAAATTGCTTATACAGCTAGTTAGATTTTATTGCACGGCAGTCTGTTGTGTGGACTGATGAAGAAATACATATTTTCCACGTTTGAGTAAATACTGATATCAGTGTAGCACACGTATGCAATCCAGCCGGCAACAAAGAAATCCACTCCCTCCCTCTTCCTCTTTAACTGCACGAACTGCTATGACTTGATTTCTATCAAAGGACCATTCATCTTAATTTGGGATCAGTATTAGGTCAGCCCTTAGCGACAGCTTTGTATAGAAGCCCTAGACCCCTATGCACGAGTCTATGTCTCAAAGTCTGACCTCGCCATCTGGTTCAGGCATCCTAAACAGCGCTGCCACGAGAGAGGACTTCCCAGATCCTGTTCGTCCTGTGATACCAACTTTCTCCTTGTTCTTGATTTCAACTGTGATATCCCTCAGGACGCGATGGTTCCCCTCTACGTATCTCAAAGACAAGTTCCTCAGGCAAAGACTTCCTTTAGCCGGCCGACGGTCATCTTTCATATCATATCCAGGTTCTGGACTCATCTGGGTGAAAGTTATCACCCGCTCGACTGACGTCATCAAGTTCTCTGTCTCGGATGTCAGCTGAACACCAAACTGAGCTGCGTCTAAAGTTTCTAGAGCGTATGTCAGCGACATACCTGCAATAGCTGTGTGACAGAATGAAGAAAGGGATACAAGATTAAAACGTTTCTACAACCGGCGACATATAGTGCTGTAAAGACGTGCTTAACATTACCTGAAGTTAAAGTTACCCATGTAGGTATCTGTGCTGGTTATGGGCATGTTTCTTACCACAAAGCCCATAGTTCCTTATCTAGGAACTGCAAGGTAACCGTTTGCATGTTGCTTAAAATCGTTTCTTTTGCCACTGGAGCAACAGTGCTCAATGCCGGTGCCTAACACGGCTTGTCACATGCACAACGTAGGCCATAGTATAGGACTGGCCCTCAACCACTGGCTACAAGTTATTAATCATGTAAAGTTTACCAAATGAGGGATCAAACCTGGTATCTGCGTGACGAGAACAGCTCCAGCCGCCACTAATGTGACAAGCAAACTACAGAGTACTTCCAAACGAACGCCAAGCCACTTAGAACAGCCCAGCACCATTATGATGGCTTGCGTGTTACGGTCTTGGTACCTGACAATAACAACTTTAAAAGATCATTTCAGTGAAATTATAAGTAATGTATTAAAACAGTTATAAACCGTACACGCAGTAACATGTAATTTTAAACCAATCAAAAAAGATATACATCGAGCCAGGAGCCATAATCGGGGACGGAGACCGTAA